TTTTTTTTTTTTTTTTTTTTTTTTTTTTTTTTTTTTAATTTTTTTTTTTTCTTTTTAGTTACATTTTGTTAACTCCGTGTCCCTGAGGAGGTTTTTAATTCTTTCTTTCAACATAAAGAACAATTTTCCTACGGACTATCTCAGCGTCCTCTAATAAAAACATTTGTTTGACATAGATCATTTTACAATGCTCTTATGTATTCCATTTCCTGAAAATTACTGTTTTCATACTCTTCGGACATTATACATGTTATACATACACGCATATATGTATAATATATACATATTATATATACATATGTATAATATATATTCTCTATCTCATTTCTATTGCTGTAAATAGACATCATGACCGAGGGAATGTATAGAAGAAAGTGTTTATTGGGCCTTCTTTATACATTCTTTTTTAAAATATTTATTAATTTTTTAACTTTATTTACTTTGTATCCCCCCCTGTGGTTCCCTCCATCCTCCCATCCCAAACCCTTCCTCCACCCTCTGCATGCATGATCCTCCCCAAGTCCACTGGTAGGGAAGGTCTTCTTTTCCTTCCTTCTGATCCTAGTCAATTAGGTCTGATCAGGAGTGGCTGCATTGTCTTCTTCTGTGGCCTGGTAATGCTGCTTCCCCCTCAGGGGGAGGTAATTAAAGAGCAGGCCAATCAGTTCATGTCAGAGACAGTCCCTGTTCCTATAACTATGGAACCCACTTGGATACTGAACTGCCATGGGCTACATCTGTGCAGGGGGTCTTAGGTTATCTCCATGCATAGTCCTTGGTTGGAGTATCAGTCTCAGGAAAGACCCCTGTGCTCAGATTTTTTGGTTCTGTTGCTCTCCTTGTGGAGTTCCTGTCCTCTCCAGATCTTACTGTTTCCCACTTCTTTCATAAGATTCCCTGCACTCTGCCCAAAGGTTGCCCATAAGTCTCAGCATCTGCTTTGATAGTCTGCAGGGCAGAGCTTCTTTATGCCTGATGACTGCTGGTCTCTGGGATTGCTGGTAGAGCTGTATATCTCGGCTCTTAAAGAAGCTACTTACCATCCGCTGATAGTGCCTGCTGTGGTCCACAACATTACAATCTGGACCTTTCAGAGACATTTTAAACAAAAATGTATTTCACTCTATTCTTTTCTTCCAAAATGTCCATTCCAAGAGAATCAAATTTTCCAGCATTTCTCAAAAGAACAACCTGTGAAACTAAAGGTAAACCATAGTAAAAGAAAAAAAAAAGTTATATCCTTTAAGTGTATAATGGGGGCCCGGGCACAGTACAAATATTCCTTGAAGGAGACAACTTCCTGAACAGAACACCAACAGGTCAGGCTCTAAAATAAATAATCAATAAATGTGAATTCATGAAACTGAAAAGATTCTGTAAGGCAAAGGACATTGCCAATTGAACAAAATGGCAGCCTACAGATTAGGAAAAGATCTTCACTAATCCTAGATCTGACAAAGAGCTAATATCCAAAATATATAAAGAACTCGAGAAGTTAAACACCAGCAAAACACAACTAATACATTTAAAAATGGGGTACAGAGCTAAACAGAGAATTCTCAAAATAGGAATCCCTAATGGCCAAGAAGTACTTAAGGAAATGCTCAAATTCCTTAGTCATCAGGGAAATGCATATCAAAACAACTTCGAGATTCCACTTACATTTCTGAGAATGACTAAGAGAAAAACAAAACAAAACAAAACCCCTCAAGTTACAGCACATGCTGGCAAGGATGTGGAGCAAGGGGAACACTTTACTGTTGAGAGTGCAAACTTGTACAACCACTTTGGAAACCAATCTGGCGCCATCTCAAAAAATCAGGAAGTTTTCTACCTCAAGATTCCTAGAACTGTACCTAAAAGAGGCTTCAGTATACCACAAGGACACTTGCTTAACTATATTTATCTGAGCTTTATTTGTAATAGCCAGAAACTGGAAACAATCCAGATGTTACTCAGCCAAAGAATGAATAAAGCAAATGTGGTACATTACACTTTGAATAGTACAGAGCCATAAAAACAAGAAAATCATGAGATTTTCAAGCAAACGGATGGAACTAGGAACTATTATCTTGAGTTAGGTAACCCAGACCCAAAAAGACACACTTACAAATGGGTATTAGTCATATAGTACCTTCTATTAGTCATATAGTACATTCTACAGTCCACAGACTCCAAGAAGCTAAGTAACAAGGAGGGCCCAAGGGAGAATGCTTGATTCTCACACAGAAGGGGAAATAAAATAGACATCTAAAGTGGTCACACTTTAGAATTTTGGTTCCACCTGAGTCTATTCTTTTATAAAAGTTCATCATGTGACTAGAGTCAGCGGCCCTGAAGACCTCTAGATACTACAACTTGTGACTTTTTTTTTTTTTTCAATCAACTTTCCTCATATCTGGGAGTTGAGATCATCTTAGAAGACTCTCTGAATGCCTTCTAAGAACTTAACTCAGGATTTAAGTCATGGATAATACCCAAACCATTTGTTTTCTGTAAAAATATAGCATAAATGCAGAAGATGCAAACCATTCATAGATATTTAGTTGTGCTCTTACCATAACTCAAGAGAATAGAGCAAATTTCATGGCTCTACCATGGCACAAAAAGCCTTTTCAACAAGCATGCCAGGACACACGTGCTGGAAATCAGCTTTTAAAAAAGTTAACTATTTATTTTGAATTAGCTCCTAAACAGACAGGTTTTCTTATGGCATTTTCATAAAACTTAATTTGGTTCATTATTCCATCAAACACTTCTTATAATATTAATATCTTTAATATTGTAGAAATTGTTCCATCTCTTTGTAATTCATTCTCTGTTTCCTTGAAGTAAAGGGCAGAATTTAAAAGTAAGTCATTAGTTACCTTGTTCAGAATGCATTAAGAAATACAAAAACAAAGCCAATTGTGCTAGTCTTCTGAAGATAGTGACTCCAGGGAGGAGTTTTAATGGGCAAATATGGCTGAAGCCTTCAGGGAAATAGAAAGGACCCAGGAAGTATTTTGGGGTCTTGGTAGTAAAAATGATTATAGATCCTGTCCCTAACTGAAGCATTCAAAGTGCATCTGAAATACAAACCATAACACCCAGTCAATCAAGTTGTCTTGAGCATAATATACGCTACCCAAGGTACACAAAATTCAATAGGGTCTACACAGAGCATTCACTTACTGACACCACATTTTCCCTCCTTTATGAAAAGCTGTTTTCGCATGAATTCATTCTTCACATCGTATTCCCTCTTTATCCTGTCAGGCAAACACTAAAATCTGGGAAACCTTATAAGCCATAATTTTCCTCTAATCTATCATTCTATCAATTCTATACACCAACTAGATCTCAGATCTTTTCAGGTGTTCAATATATGTTCTTATAGTATTATGATTTAAATTACAATTATAATTTCCCATGATGACACGTGCATAGATTTATATATATGCATATAAACACTTATGTATTCATAGTGTATATATATATTGTTCATGAATTATATATCAAGAAGCACATATCCACATATGATTTTATTGTCATATATCTATACAATATGTAGAATTACTACATCTGTATTTCCATATGTATTGCATTACCACCTACATATGCATTTACATATAAACATAGTAATATGTATGTGCAGAGAAACATTTTCATTTTATGAATACATGTATATATGTTAGGAGACACACAGAAATATGTGCAACTGTGTTATATGTGTATATATTTATATACTTATATATTTATATAATAATTATAAATCTATATGCTTATTGTTTATATAATATACAACGAATGCATTTGTATGTTATACTAGGCTTAAAAGTATACACATAGAAACATAAACTTAACCAGAAATAGATTTCTAAAATTTCTTCCTTTATTAAACATTTGCTTCTCTGTGCAGCTCAGCTTTCACCATCCCTTCCCATCCTCTCTCTCATCCCAGCCACAGTGAAGTACTTTATGTGGATTTAGCATTCAATATTCTAAAGGTCATTTTACTCACAGCCTAGAATACCTGCTGTATTTCTTTGCTTAACTGGGCTTGAGGGTAATTTTGTTTCAGAACTCTTTGCAGCAATCATCAGCTCTCTGAAACCCCTCTTGAATGTCTAATCCAGCTGGGGGCCTTTATTTGTCTTCTTTTCCCTTCAAAGTACAGACACAGGTTTTAAAATGAAATTACCACAGCTCTTGACCGTGCTGCTAATTACATGACATTTATGAGTTAGATTTTATTTTGCCTCTTCCCACGGCG